AAATCTGAACCTTGCTGTATTTAATAGCCTGAACACCACACTTCCCCAGACAGCTCCTATGAAAGGCTGACTCATTTGTTTCAATACAGTGGCCACTCTACAGAACCAAAAGAGACAGTATATATCCACAGCACTGTATGAAAATTCTTCCAGATGTACAATGTGAAGCCTAAAAAGTAGTTAATTTATCACAGAAGCAGAGATTCCTACGGTAACTAATTCAAACTGCTGATGATGCACTAAATCAGAGTGAGTGATGAACACATACACAGCAGCAAGAGAAGTTCAAAAGGATACAGATCTATGTGATCAATGAGCTGTCACACAGCAAATGAAATGCAGTGTTGACAAATGTACAGTAATAGAGATGAGGCTCCAAAATAATCAAACCAAATATAAGAAAACTTAAATAAACCAGAGCAGAAATATCTCATTACAGCACTGGAGGTGCCTTTTTAAACATATCTACCAAACATTCCAATCACTGGTACTTCTCTCTCTATTTAATTTGAAAAAAAATAAAAACCAAGAACTGATTACTTGAAGAGATTCATTGTCGTAAAGCAGTAAAATCTTACCAAAAATGCAATCCAGGGACACAAGACATGTAAGAAACCATCTATTTCAAGGACAGAGTTGGAACAACAGCCTACAGAATAAAATCTCACACAGACCTAGTATATCGTATTGCACATTACTACCCTGAGTGATGACAGAATGGTAAGGCCAACTTATGGCTTCTACCTCTATCAATATGTGCAGTTCAGAAACATAATCAGAGCAAGTGGTGCTGACCAAACCTCTTCATACTCTGACCACCTTATTACCTGATTAATACCTTTTTGATTGAAGAGCAACACCATTTTATAAGAAGAGTGCTGGCATTCAGTCATGTGCACTTCTTGACTTTTCCTGGAGCATAAGGAACTGCACATCATGAAACATGCCAGAACTTTTAAAACTACAGAAATCACCTACTGTGAGAAGGAAGGTTTTATTAGACATTTTCTACAAAAATAATAGCTGTAACTTTCTGTTAATAATAAAATAGTAAATAAATAAATAAATAAATAAACTAAATATACAGGTGTTAGCAGCTGTGGCTACTACTGTCATTATTCATTAGAGCCAACAGAAATACATTCTCTTTTGCTTTTGTCCATGGAGTGCTACGGTGAGAATGTTCTGTCTGTAACTAAATCTCCTGTTTGAAATGTCATATGATTCAAGACATCATATCTTTGAAGGGCTTTTCAAAAATCATACCTTCACTAGTCTTTTGGATGCAGCTTTATTGTGGAACTGCCGCACTATAATCAAATGGTCTTTCAAGTATATTTACCATCATAGGAATAGACCAGCTATTCTTGACAGATATGAATCTCTACAAAGATATCTACACTGTAAAAATGAGCATTTCTACCAGAATTTTACTTCCTTGAAGACTCTATAACAGAACAGCTTGCTGAATTGTTACAGATCACATGCACATTTGTACATTTCCTTCAGAAATTTCCTTCATATTTATTGACAAAGACTGTCCACCAAAGAGCCTCATTCTCCTCCATCAACTTTTCTTTTTAATACAATTGTTTTCTTTGATAAATAAGGGATTTTTCACCCCCAAGCTCTCTCAATCTGCTCTTCAAAAAGTCCACATGGCAGATGAGTAAGAAAAAACAATTAACAAAAAAGGTAGCAATCCCATTTGTTTCTTGCTCTAAGCCTTGCTTTTTCCTCTCCTTAACCTAAAGGTTACCTTATCTGTTCTAGGGTCTCCTATATAAAAGCTCTAATTCTTTAGCTCATAATAAGATGATGAATCATGCCTTGCTTTTGATGAAACCACAAACAATTCAAACACAAATAAAGAACCACTCATTTTGGTTTATGCTACTTTAATAAGACTTCAGAATTACTCTTGTTTATCATGTGTTAAACACTTAGCGACATGGCTAATACACTAAAAATAATTGAAATAATACTGGAAATGCAACGGAGTGGAGAGGTAATAGTATAGAAAGTTCCTGGAGTGTGTGGAAGTTAACTTCTAGACATAGCTGGTGAGCAAGACAACTAAAAAAGCTGCCCTGCTGGACCTCTTGTTTCTGAACAAAGGGTTGTGGGTGATGTGATGATTGGAGGGTGTCTTGGGCTCAGCAATTATGAAATTACAGAGTTTTGAATTCTTGGAGGAGTAAGGAGAGGGGTCAGCAGACCTGCCACCTCAGCCTGTTTATGACATTCATTGAGAGAGCTCCTTGGGCTTTTGCCTGAAGAGTAAAGAAATCCAGGAAGACTGAACATATTTAAGAAATCTTGAAGGTGCTGGAGCTGGCCATCCCCATGTGCTGAAAGACAAGTCAGTGGGGAAGACCACCAGCCTGGCTGCACAGAGAGCGTTGTCTGGAGCTCAGATAACAAAAACAAGTTTATGACCTTTGGAAGAAGGGGCAAGCAACTCAGGAGAAGTACAAGAGCATTGTGAGGTTATGTGGGCAGAAAACTTGAAAAGTCAAAGCCAAAGTAGAACTTTATCTAGACACAACACTGCTGCAAAATATAATAAAAAATGTTTCTAGAAATACATTAGCAACAGAAGGAGGGCTGAGACTCTCCATCCATTGCTAAATATACAACCAGGCGTCAGGCCCACCCAGAATGCTGTAAGAAAGGTCCTGTTTGACCAGCCTGACCCCCTGCTATGACCTACTTTGTGGATGACTGAAAGGCTGTGGATTCCGTCTACCTAGACTTTACTAAAGCCTTTGACACCATTTCCCACAGCATTCTCCTGGAAAAACTGGCTGTGGAGGTCTTCTAGAACTCAGTTACTCAGCAAGCCATTAGAATAACAGAGGAAGAATGAACCATCAAGTGCATTTTCAGAATATATGTTATTTGAAGAGATTTATAAACAGTAGTAATATTTAATTTTGCTACTCTGTAGAAAGGACGTTCAGTTGAATATCAGAATTCCACATTAAAACAGGATGCAAGGCAACATAATTAAAAAACCCAAGTGATGGTACCAAGCTCAAAAGCTAAAATGCCTAAACCAGTGCATGACAGGGTACTAGTCCTCCACTCTCCCTCATCATTAGCAAAGCTATAGCCTCCCAAATGTACACTGCAGGAACAGCATTTTGTTAGATTTGCAAAACACAAAAAATTAAATGATTGACAGATATTTCCAACTGTATAATTTGTAACTTATGAAAAATTTATTAACTTTATGTTTTATTTTGTTCAGCTTGAAGACATACACATGGAAAATCTCTATCTGGATTTCAAACTGGTTTTAGTTAAAATCATCATCTTTCTGCTGAACTGATGCCAAGACTTGCACTCGTCAGATTTTCACAGTTAGATTTTTCATAGACTTTCATTAGCAAACAGAATGGTTTCTATTTAGAGCCAAACCATTGAAAAGGAGAAATAATAGGAAACCATTCAAATCAAAACCCAAAGCTCCATTACAACTTTATGGTAATTATGATTAATCCCTGCATAGCTATTCTTTGATCTGAACTTTTTCCTCAGTCTATTTCAGGACAACTTGCACACTGTTATTTCTCAGGCAAACATAGAAGAAAACAGAAAAACAGGGTTTAAGATGTACACACTAAAACTTTGCCTTTCTAAAACCCTTAGTGACACACTCCACTGGGAAAAAGCGCTACTGAATTCCTCTATGAATGGATCTGTCCAGACAAAAGTTTCTGGCTGGAATATGGAGTTTGCTGGACTAAGGACAGAAGTCTTACTGTCTCAAATTACATGATGGTTTTACCCTTGACATACACAAGATTTTATGAAGGAAACTTCTGATTTAAAGAGTTCTCATCTGGATGTGAAATTTATCTGATTGATCTGACCTAGTGTTACAACTAAGCAAATGATCAAGCGAGGTCCCATGAGTAAGTTATGCTACAAACCCTGAATGTACTGTAAACTCTCCAAAAAGCTGCATTTCCTCAGCAAGTTTCCTTTCATTGCCTTTGCACGGGAAACACCTCTCTGACATGACCAATGCATTCATTTAATTTTTGTTTTATATTTTATCTTCCAATTTATTTTGTTTAGAGGTAGAATTATTCTGTTAAAAAATGACCTGATCCTAGATGTAGTTTATTTAAATTTCAAAATGAAAAGCTTACTAAGAACAGATAAGATTGATTGCTCCTTCCAACTTAGCATAATTGTATTTCAGGTGAACATCAATTTACTTTAAAGGACACTTCTAAGTAGCAAGCTGCATCATACATTATTCATCAATCACAGCTGCCTGTAACATGATTTGCTCAAGCAGATTTCAATGGAATAGAGGGAATTGCATTGTTTTTTATGCTTTGGCTTGTTTGTTTTTAAATAGTTTACGAAACACTAATTTGTGCTGAATTATTGCTGAAAGGAGTTCATCCTTGGTAATCAGCATGCTGAATTTCTTTCTCTTTGTATAGCAATGTTACCTCTTTAAATTTCTTTTAAAAGACAGAGTGAGTTTTCAAAACATTGTTAAGGCAGAGAGCACTCCATGCTTATTAAAGGTAAAAATACAGCTCAAGGATTTTGCTATGGAGGAAGGGATGGCAAATATATTTATCTGAAAAGCATTATTTGTTTTTGGGCTGTTTATTTTCCACCTGGCTTATATCATTATTTGTTAGACCAGCAACCAAATGCAGGTGAAGAGAAGTAGCTACTTCCTAAGCTAGTCCTTCACATAGTTGTCACATGGATAAATTGGCTTTTATGTGGTACTCTAGATGAAACTGTATGTCAGTTAAAGTGCAATCACTTCGTACACCAAGAAATATAGGTGAAGCTGCATCTTCAATCAAATTCAGCTTCAGGGACATAGTAGTACCTCAGATGGTCCTAAAGTAAAGAAACATTTACACAGATTTATGCAAATATAGCTTCAAAAGAAAAAAGAAAGAGCAAGAGAAACTCCTAGAAAGACACATCTACACAAAGATGGTAATGCCTTTACTTACTTGTAAGCCCATCTGAAACACAGAATGACCCATAAAGTTAGCCAACATTCGAATCAGAGCCGCACCCTATGGGAAATAATAGAAAAACAAAGTTACCTGTTTTGAATGCCAATATAACACAAAAAAATACTCAGAAGCAGGCATTTACACCCAACGCTAATATCCCTGAAACCTGTAACTAATACAATCTTTATTTGTGCTAAAAAGAAAAAGAGAGAGAAGATAATTGAAATGTTTACTAGGAAAAGTGAGGAGGCAAAGTGGTATTGTTAATATCCTGTCCCATATATTGAATAAGGCACAGGTCAAACAACACACTCTCCCCACTGCTGGAGCATGCATGTGCCAGTTCCACGGGTGACTGACCCCAACCCTTCTACATATTTAACAGAAATGTCCAATTTTAAAAGAAAACAAAGAAATAGTGGCAAATTGCAAATTCTACCTCAGTAATTTTTTATGATATTTTTATCTCCATTACACTATTGTACATCAGGATTCAAAAGTGATACTACTTCCTTTTGTAAAAGCCTTCAAGATCTGGTGACTAAAAGTGAATAATTTCCATAAGAATTTTATAAAATGTGTATATATATATATATATATATATTTGACTTATTAATAGGTTATTTTCCAGACTGTCATGCAAAGATCACTCTTTCTCTACTTATAGTAGTTCTTACCCTCTTCCCCTTCAGGCAAAGCATAGAGCTCTAAAAGACAGGTGATTCTAATTCTCAGTACTTGCTGCAAGAAACAGACAGATACTTGCAAGTAGCTTTTTTTTTAAGCATCTTTGTGTTTTCTCACTCACTCTCAGAAACACAATTGCAGTGTATTTTCCCTTTGCACAAGTGCTCTACTTCAAGCAGAAATAACTTTGCAGATCTGATGTGATCATTTAGCTATAATACCCACTTTACAAAATAATTTCAAGACAACCAGTCTTCCAATCCCAATACTTAAATGTTATAATCAGTACTGAACACCATACAAGAGGGAGGAAAATTGTGATTGCAAATCCATGAATTAAAGGCTTTAAGAAAACATGATACTAGAACTCAACCATCTCATCTAGAGATGAAGGTCCAGGAATTAGGTTAACACTCCATTAAACAATAATAAAAAAGGAGCAACATTACATGGGTTCAAAAATTTACAGATTCCAAAGACAAAAGGACTATTACAACATTTATTCTGCATTAATAGAGATCAAACAGTCATTTAGACAAAAAACCCTGTGTTTTCTCTTTCAATTTTTGAAAATTCAAGATCATAATAATGTTTCAGACTACTATACAATGTGTCACAACTAATACTTACTCTATTTGGAAGGTATGTAGTTTCACTTACTTGAATTTATCTAGCGTCAGCTTTCAAAACAAGACTTTATGTTTTTTCCTGCTAAATTAAAGTTCAGGGTAGTCCAGAAATTTAACTGTTGTCCAATTTTTAGATCATTTTACACATGTTCCAGCAATTTTTTAAATATCTTTAAGTACTGAATAGATTATCGGTAATGTACGATGGTTGAAATAATCACATAAATCAAAAATATTTGTAAATTATTAGTAAATTGTAAGAAAATGCCAGTCCTTCATATAAACAGTGTCAATAAATATTATATAGTTTGCAGAGTAAGTAAACTGCTTTTAAGAACTGAACAGTGAACAAACCAAAACATATTGTTTGCATTATTAACACTAGGATATGTTGTTATGGTGGTATATAATCTTACTGGAAGACAAATAAGGCCTGGAACACATAGCAGAACAGGAAATAACACCTTTCAAAACAGATTATTACCTAAGCAGGCAAGATCATAGGTCAGGAAACATTACTGCCCTTATATTACTAGATAAACAGAATGAGTGAAGTTCTCAGAGACATTTAAGCAGATAAAGAGCAGATAAATCTGTTTAAGCAGATAAACAGAAGATTTAAAAAAAATCTCATAAATCGATAAATCCCACTTATTCTGTAAGTAACTTGGGCAGGGCAATCCAAAACATATGTAGCAGAAACAAAAAACCCATAAAATGTATCAGATAAAATCCTCAACTAGAAGACATTTTTCCATTCATCATGCATTCCTTTTCCTACTCACTATTTAGTATTCCAGGACACCCTGGTTTCTTTCTCACAGTTTAAATTTCACATAGTAACAAAAAACATAACTGTATAAGCACCTAGATTCTACTGATTTCTATAAAAAGAAAGCAAGTAAATAGTTCCATATAATGTTGTCCAGAGAGTCTTTTCTTCTGTCCAGAGACCTAGAACTCTCATATACATGTAAAGAAATTACAGAATTCTCCTCACACGTAACATTTAGATACATGTTGGGTGGACTATGGCTGGCCATTATACAGCAAACAAAATAAAACAGCAAGCAAAGACCGAATGAAGAGTCAAGGCACAATGGCAGGACTATTCTCTCAAGATAGATCTCTTTTCACAGCTACTTTAGAAGTATTTTCTACCAATTAATTATCTTCAGGAAACCCAGAAACACTACTTACAGCTTGCAGAACAACAGGCTTGTCACAGCTCTGCCATCTTCCCCACTCAGGGAAAGCAAATGCTTTCTTGACTTGTTTCAGGAAGTGAATGTAATCAAAAAGCAAGAAAACCTCAAGAGGAGAAAAAAGCTTCTTGGAGAGATGGGAGAAGAAACAGGAGCAAATGAGGCCCTTGGTGTGGTGGGAAAAGAAATGGGAGGAAACCATTCATTCCACCTTTCCTGAACTTCTGAGAGTAGGCAGAACAGGGAACAGTGATACATTCATAAGAAAAGCAGAAGCTCTCAACACTTTCACAGCTCTGGGAAGCAGAGCAGTGTAAGGCAGCAAACACTGGCACCCTGACTAGGGAGGAAGCAAAACAGGTTTGCAGGCAGGAGGATAAAAGAGGTATGGAGAGTAACTGGCATAAAGAGTGGTTTACTAAAAGGAGAAGCTTGGAAGATCACCCTAAATGGAGGATCGTGGGAGGTGAAGAAGGTATGTACAGTAAATTCAGATATAGGAAAAACAGAATACATAGCTTTGGGTTCATCTGAATGGCCCATGCGCTGACATTCCCACCACTTGGCAAGCAGAAAACAAGATGGAGTCGAGAGTACTTATGCTGCTATACCTTCTGAAAGCTTTTCTCCTAGACCTAAACCTAAAGAAAATTCCCAACAAATCTGCCCTGCTGCAGGAGATGCCCTTTGGAACCTATCAGCATCACTCTCTGAACACCCTGATATGCAAGGAGCCTGCTCCCCACTTTACCCTCAGAGCCACTTCTGCTCTGACAACCTTTCACCAACAGAGGAACAACACAGGATGTCCTGAGAAGCTTGCCTCTCCTACTGGGCAAAATGACTGTTTATTGATGATTTAAGTGCTTTCCTCCAGGCAGTGGATGACTCAGTACCTTGTCAAGAGGTAAAGCACATTGGTTTAAGAGGTCTAGTGGAAAGCAATTCTTTCCTATTCAAAAAACATACCTAGTTCCTGTCAGTGTAAAATCTGACTTGCCTTAAGCCGTTGTACCCTATCTTAATATGTCTACCCAGACAAATACACTAGTTATTCATCCAATGATTAATGGCACTACCTGCGTCTGGTGAAGCACTGCTCATTAGCAGATCTCACAAGAGCTCTCTAAGATTAATGCCAATATTCTGCAAATTAGAAGGAAACTGTGGCACACCCTAGTGAAATCATTTGCCAAAGATTACCCAGACCACTTATCATATAACCTATGATACAGCTGAAGCTTTGTCAGCCTCAGCATTGTGATTCCACTGCTATAGGAAAGGAAAGTAGAATATATTGGCTACTTCATGGAAATTAGGTGCATACAGCTCTTTTTTGCAAAGTGTTCTTGGGAAAAGGCTCTCTCGTGGACAGTGAGCCAACACTGCTTGAAGGGATGGAAGTTTATGCGCTTTCTTCCCCTGATGAAACTTGTACATTCACAACAAGGTAAAGACCATCCATAACCAAAATTAGGAGTAGAATTACTTTGTATACAAAATGAACATGTCTTTGAAATCTACAAAATGCAGAGCTGAGCTAAGGTATTCAGTCTAAATCTCTCCAGGCAGTTTAATTCTCTCCATGCCAACATAAAATAATGTGATTGCATCCTTGATCCTAGATTAGCTTTAACTAATTTTTAAAGACCCACTCCTACATCTTGATCCTCTTACATCATTACAGAACACAATTATTGTAAGTCAATTTCGTTCTATGACTTATTGAATGTCTCAATTTTATTATACTTGAAATCCTCAATCAATTGTTTCACTTGCAACTTGCATTTTGTAAATTTTTTTTTAATACAAAAGATAGTCCCAAATGGAATTTTATTTAACAGGAAACAAATTACATCTTATGTATGAACCCACAAAAACATAACCACTACTACTACTAGAATAACAGTACTGCTACAGAGCCACACAAGAAGTGATACACTTGATTCAATGCAAGTATCTGCAGCACCTGTGACTAAAATCACTTTAGCTGTTCAGACTTCCCTTAGAGACAATGGGCTTTACGAGTCACCTCTGGATGCACTTTATCTAACCTTAAAACAAGCCTCAGATCAGGGGAATTGTACTCTAAAAGCACCCATCTCTTGTAATTCACTCCGAAAGCAGGCTTGAGTGACTAGCTCGTATGTACACATCTGTACCACAGACATCTAAAGTGCAGTGAGATTAATTCAACTGCATTGTCCAAAAAGGCCATAGAGACATTGATTCTCCATTCTGGGGGAACTCCTGAATTGTGGAGGTACAAAACCAGTGTGATCCTTTTGTATATGTAGTCAAATAACAAAAATCCTATCTTACCTTACTCTACATACCATACTTTTACATAAGAAGACTGGCAAGAGTAGGTATTCAACAGAAGGCCCTGGAGAGAGGGCAGAGTGCTTGCTATCCAAAAGCAGATGCTCTATACTGAACAGACAGCAAAGAAGAGTACTTGAAATAAAGAACTGGTGAAGCAGTTGCAGGGAAGGGAACAATATAAAAGTAAGCAAACAATATAAAAGTCAGCACATAA